TTCCACAGTTTGAATGACTTGTCTACCACTTCATTCCCAAAAAGTCTCCGAAGGTCTCCTATATTCACACCCTTTTTTCCGACCTTGACCTCGACCTCCAGTTCCAACGCATCATGCACAACCTCCTCCTGAAAATATGAAATCATCTTACTACGAAAAATATCAAAGATAACATACAAATCCTGCTCATNTCTGACTGCTTTTTCTCCTGATAGAATTCTGTCACGATTTTCCAACCCTCTTGGGGACTCTCACACGCCAGAATGAAGCTCTGAATCGGGGGATACAAAACCTTGCTGATCAGGATTTCCACAGTTTGAATGACTTGTCTACCACTTCATTCCCAAAAAGTCTCCGAAGGTCTCCTATATTCACACCCTTTTTTCCGACCTTGACCTCGACCTCCAGTTCCAACGCATCATGCACAACCTCCTCCTGAAAATATGAAATCATCTTACTACGAAAAATATCAAAGATAACATACAAATCCTGCTCATTTTTCACGCTACCAAGCCAAGGTTCTATTTCTGAGCCAGGATTGACACGTAACGTGCCTGAGCGGGCAAAACCTTGTTGTTCAGCGATGGCCTCAGCTGTCGCCTTGGCCGCTTGCGCCACGATGTGTGCGACGCTGCTGGGGTCGTTGAACGTAGCTGTTTTACCCTGGCTGGAGGGTGATGGCTGGCTGCCGGTAGGTGGGACTGGGTTGCCGCCTGATGGTGGTTGGGCGTAGGTGACTTCACCCTCGTCGATCCTGTTAGCTTCAAGTTCGGCTTGTACTCGTTGCTGGACGATCTCCTCCACTTTTTGCTGTAGTTCTTGCTCGCTAAGGGCGGAGAGGTCTATGCCCTCCATGATTTATGTTGTTATGGGAGTCTACCTATTGCGGGTGACTGCACAACCCCCGGAAGGCTATGCCCGCGCGCAGATACCCTGATATCGTCGCACTAGTGTGAAAGGTAAACTACGCGGGGTGCAGCAAGCACGTTCTGGACGCTGCTTTGGGGCACTGGGTAGTCGGCCGTGTTAGGCCGAGAGAGAGAGGTTGAGAGAGAGATGGAGAGAGAGTAGGAGAAGGAAACTTGATTGGAGAGAGACGGTGGTGGTGGTGGAGAGAGAGGGAAGAAGTAGAAGCAGAGGAAGAAGTGCGCAGCACGCACGCAAGCCTTCCTCATCATCGAACCGACCACGCCCAAAGGGTCCCCGTGACTACGCCGGTGGTACCCTTCAACACACGAAATTCCCAACATGTGTCCCCCTGGGATCCTCACGACCAGATACTGCTGCGAGTATATCTATCATTGCTTTCTTTTTTTTTTCAGCTTTGTTTTTTGAGGTCCCCCGTTTCCTGTGTGCTCATCGGGCGTCGTCTTGGTGTCTACCTTAATTGTTACCCGCTGAAAAAATCGAAAGCTTCAGACAGGCAACGCGACGATACTCGTCGAGTTACCATACACAATAGCTCCCTTATGAAGGATTATATCACAGTACGGGATGAACCCCCCTTATCGGATAAATCCCGCCCCTCATGCGACCAGTCTCCGAACACCAATAAATATGTCAGGCCTTTTCAAGGCTCATTCCAGATTGTGCAACCCGAACACGATCTCTTTTACAGTGACACAAGAGAAAGCGGTCGACGGTTGATTTCAAACTGATGACGCGCTTGAACACAGGGGAACGATGCAAGAGGGAGGCAAACAGAGTGAACAATATTGTCCTCTAGGGCCTGAGTACGGTGTTGGGCAGAGGTGATGAGAGTAAACTGGAGACAAAGCAAGAATGTGCGTGAATCCATGAATGAATGAATGTGGTTGGAGGGGAAACGTTCAACGGGCAGTAATTGTCGAGGGTGGGAAGAGTTTCCCTGTCTGCCTATCTTAGCCTCCAAACGTAATGTGCGAAACCTTGACGAATGAAGACCCGCGCGCGATTATCTCTACATCAATTCTCAGGGCGACTGCACGTGCAACTCCTTTTCTTCGAATATATATTGCAAATGAACATGGCCATGCATCCAACCAGATTTTGATCAGGTGCATGCAGCATGTGATGGCACGACGGGTACACGGCTTGTAGGTCGTTTGTGTTTGTTTGCTCTTTCAGCTATACTGTGACCTCTCTCTCTACCTTTCAGAAGTAGGAGCAGCGTGTTTTTTTTTGGACGCCCGGCCGGGGTCATATAGACGGACAACAGACAAACCCAGAAAACTACGCTTTGACAACAAGCTAGCTACATTATGTGACATGCAGACAGGGCAATGCCACACAACAACAGAGAGACAGCCAAACAGCCAGGAGTGGCTGTAGTGTACCATACTAAGTATTTCTCCTGCTGTTGTCTCGGAAATGATACATTCGTCCATCCGCCGTTCGATGCCCTCCTTGACCCTTCTAGATAGAATAGCTGTGTCGACTTCTATAATAGTGCCCACACTGTTAACCGTGTGGAATGATTTTCATACCTCGCTAGGAAGCCAATTAAGCAGATGCGATGTCAATATCATCTTCTTCAGCAGCGATCAATGTGTACGTTTGTTCGTCGTTCGTGTGGACAATTCATACGCACATACATATTACTACCTCACAATAAGAGGATGAGTATTTCGCACATAAGCTTGGACAAAAAAAACAAAGAAAATCAAGTAAGAGGACGGGAAATGAAAAACGAGAAAAGGAAAAAATATGGCAACGAAGAGTGAGTTGACGTAGAAAATCCGACAAGGGCCGCGTATTTTTCGATTACTCCGGAAAATGTTTCCATAGGATACACATTTTTCAAAGAAAATGGGACACACACACGTGTACGGAAATACGCAGCCAAATATATCACGCATGTATATTTCACAAAACACATACTGAACTACGCGTACGTACGTACGTCGGGGGTGGCGCGACCAACCAAGTACTCCCAAGTACGAAGTTATATACTGTAGTCCGTACTTTTATCAAGATATGAGGAGAAAGGAAAAACATAATACGAAAACAACATGACTTCCCGCATGGAGTCCAACTCACATCCCCGGACCTCTCCAGCGCAGTTACGTTTTGTGACCCGTCACACCAAGTACCACACGCACATACACATTCCTACATTAATGTACTATACATCCAAGGGCGCACAAAAATAAATTCTGACACCCAACCCCCAAAACGTTTTTTTGGGCCCCTCCGGGAGGGGGGGGGGGGGNNNGGGGGGGGGGGGGGGGGGGGGGGGGGGGGGGGGGGGGGGGGGGGGGGGGGGGGGGGGGGGGGTACGAAGGTCTCATGCCCCTCCCCCAAACGTCAAATAATTTCCAACACAAACAAGCCTATGCTAAATCCTATACATAACGAGGGCACATTTCATGCAAGGGAGTACTACAATCCACGTAGAACAAGGTTTTCGTGTGATTGAGAGCGAAGTTTCTGATTGAGAGCGAGATTGCGCGATGCGCTGTAGCTGGACTACCGCTGAGAGGTGGAGCTTGCTGCGTGACTTGAATTGAAGGCCTAACCCGTAGCTACAAGCCGATACCCTGGTCATCCTGTGGGCGTCTCTCGTTGTGGAGCTACAGCGGGGAGCAGAATCTACAGCAGAGCTCACCGCCCGCGATCAAATCGCCCTGAAACAGTTTGAGGCAGGAATAGCCAATCTGGGGAAATCTAGCAACTTGTCTAGCTCCTAGCTGCAGCATCCGATCGCGATGACACGCATATGCTCGTGACGCTGCTGATGAGACCTTCAATTTGCGCCGCTTCTTGGAAGAGCCCGCCCCCTACTTCCCAAGAAATGGCAAGAGGCGTCTGGACCCGAAATTTCAATTTTTTTGGCTCCCGCTCTCAATCGTATACTCCGCTCTCAATCAGGCGAAAACCCTGTTGTAGCCCGTGCTCCTCCAGCGTACCGCAGCCCGCAGCCAGCCGCGGTGGTACCGTCCGTAGCACAGGAGAGAGGGAGAGGGAGAGAGAGAGAGAGAGAGAGATGAGCTTGGGTAGAGTGGTCACAATGAGCACAGTCTCCGTGGGAGGGAGGTGGAGGGCGAAGGCGCCCGACGCGAAAGCGCTCGAAGAAACGGCGGTTTTGTCTTGTTGAGGAAGGTGGTGGAGGGGCTTCGGGGAGTGAAAAGTAAGTACAATGCAAGGCAATTTGCAACTAATTGTACATACATGGCATTGGGTGTTGCACGTGGCGAAGGTGATGCCACTGCCGTAGGCTCATGGACAGCCCCTCTTCGGTATGTTGCCGGCTTGAGTAAGCTTGAAATGATGACGTTTCGACGCATGGGTGTGTGTCAAGTGGTTCTGGTGTGTGTGTCATTTGGTTGTTGTGTTCTTTCGCCATATATGTATATTTGCCCAAGGTCAAAAAATGTCGTGGACTTGTCGCAGAGGCTTTTTTTTTTAGGGGTTGTCCACAAGCACTAGTGCTGTACTTCAAGATTTGAAACCAAATTTGAAGTGTCCCCAGCCCGTCACAGCTTATTGCACAATGAAGTACCATTCTGGGCCTAAACAAATCTGTGTCTATGGGACATTTGAGGGGTACCGGAATATGAGGGACATTTGGAGTTCGATATGTCAGACATGAATATAGACCTGCATACGTTTACAGCAATACTCCTACAACACACACATGATGAACGAATGTGATGTGCAACCCTGAAGAAAAGGGGATAGGTCGTTATCATCCCACCTGGGGGATAACCGGGGATGATCAGGATTTTTCCAAACTAAGGAAAGCTGACCCTTGTTTCAAAGTACTCGTATGGGGCAAGGCTCCGATAATTTGGTGATATTATTTTTGTGAATTTTCTACTGGCACTCTGGCCTTCTTTTCAACGACGTTTTTTCATATTATACAGCTGTTTTCAACTAAAAAATGGGACAAAGGAAAACTGACCTGCCACTTTGGGCCAAGAAAAACAAGCGAAAAATATATACCAATTGAAATATATATTCTGCTTAAATGGAAAAAATATGATATCTTTTTGCCGGGGCTCGAACCCGTGACCTACGATATAGACGTCCGGTCATATCAGTTCGGCTCAGGTAGTAGCAATCTTCACATTCCTTTTACGAGGTCCTGCGTGCACGTCGTGCCGTAGAAACACAACACGCAAGCACACGGAATGGAGAGGGCGAACGACAAGAATGCCTATATAAAAAATTTCCATGGAAAATAAACTTTTCTCATGCCCCTCCCGGGGGGGTTAGGTATCGGAAAAACTTCTTTTGTGCGCTGTTGATACATTCCTACATCTTCTGGTTCATTGTTCTATGTTTCAGTTGAATGCATTGTTCGATGTTTCAGTCGAGCCATGGTGCTGGGTGCTGGAGTGTGGACCCGGTCGGTGCGTTCTGTCTTTGCTACCACCGCGTTCGTCTGTAGCTCGCGTAGATAGCTCGCGGAGCGTGAGGGCCAAGGAGGTAGTATGCAAATATGGGACAATGAGCAGCCAAGACCCGAGCAGAATGACAACAACAGCAGCAGCGGCAGGACGTAGAATATAATATTTAGCAGTGAACAATATTGTTTCAACAAGCAGATTACAGGCAGTGAAGGAGACATACTCTGTAGATGGCGACAGCACACCTGCACCAGCACCAACTATATAGTACCATGTATATATATTACAGGCAGAACGATGTCTTATCTCTGAGATATTTAGACTACTTGAATAGCATACCCACCTAACTGCGCTATGCTCAGCGGTATAGCCTTCTCGCCGGCGTGTGTGTTTTGCTCCAGCCTTGCAGCAACCACATGCGTTTTTCCGTCGGTCTGTTCGAGTGAAGCGGTCGAAAGCGGCACAACAAGCTGCTTGAGTACAGAAAAACAGACGAAGGGCTCCCCGACCAGTCTCCATCCACTGCTGCTATAACGACCACGCAACAAAGATGTACAACTGTTCTTAAAAGTGAGAACTTGCACCCAGGTCCCTGGCGCACCGACCAAATCAACACGAAGCAGCGAAGGAGGCTCCTGGCGGGTTCTTGAAGAACAACGTCATTTGCGTTGGAAACCGCGTTGGGCGGTTGAAGAAAAGGGGGTTCTATGAATTATTTCTGTTGTTCTTCGCGCGCTCTTCGAGCTCTAATACTTTTTACTCCTTTTGAGCACGGAGCCCACTTCCACTCGGCACGCGAACGCACTTACCCTCCTCTCGGTTCTCATATCGGCTCTTATCTCGGTTCGAAGCGGCTTTCTGACCGCTTGCAGTACGAGGTACGGGCGATCAGAGGAGCTTTCATCGCGTCTTCGTCCTCGCCGAGAATGTGAGAATCGGGTTGAGGTTCCTTTTGAGAACCAGTGTG